GTATCTGTTGAGATTTGTGCCTTTAAGAATAATAACTGTTTTAATTGTTTTTCTTACCGCCGTATAATCTTTAAAGTACCTTTCGTTCAGTAATCGCCGCACGTACACGCGTACTCTACAGAATAATCACCTGTTCTGTGACCCAGTGTGCTAACAACGTGATAAGGGTTGCATATGATCTATGATCAATAACTGAGTGCGATACTGCGGGGACAATTCAAGTATAATCATTCATTATAAAGTTAAGGTTTTTGTTTAGTATAGCATTTGCATGTTCTAATAACTCTCTTTCACTAACAACCATCGCTTTATGCGGGGTCCATGTGTTATCAAAGTGAAATCGTACAGTCGTTGATGATACTGTCTTGATACCGTGTGGATACCGTGTTGAAGTTCTGAGATTGAGAGTTCACATACATATTATAGTTAAGGTTTAATTAGAAAATAAATTGATTAATACAGAAGTGGTCGTGTGATTCTTTCCTGAAATTTTTGCAGTAAGATCTGTTTCCTGCGATGAGATATGAACTCGGGAACCTAAACTATAAACACACCAATCCACACTCATTAAACTTTAAAGCGAATGATATGAACTTGGGACCTAAAATATGAACACTCGGGGAGTGTTAAAGCGAGAATCATTGTATTATGCTGATCAATAATACGAAGTTAGACGACGAGGCCGAATTGACACTAGCGTAACTGCACACGATTGATTGCGTTATCCTGATTGATAACCCCACCTCGTCAACGAGGCGGGGCCTGATTATCATAAAGGCTATCATTAACACAACCACACCCACTCGTATAATTAATACGATTACCTCTCTAATTAGCATAGTTATATGCATAATTACACGAATTAACATAATTTTGGATAAATTATGCAAATTTCGAATTTCATTTAATTTTCATTATTTTTCATCAATTTTCACACACCCACAAATACAACAAATTGGGGTCTCGTCCGGGATCTCTCGCAGACAGGTTATGCTTAAATTAAGGAACGAATCACTGTCGTATTAATCAAGGTTTTGTGAACTAACATTGCCCTGTGACGGTAAACGGTGTAAAACAAACAAAAAACGCACTCTGAAGAAAATACCAGAGTAGCAGTGTATAACAAAGACAGTGGGAGTGAGATTATTTGCTCAAATCGAACCAACATATTCTGTGATACAAATGTTTTTATGTGCGCTCTGAGGGGAATTCCAGAGTAACTCACGCCACACATGAGAGGCTAGAGTTAAGATACACTCTTAAGTCTATTAACTACACTACATAATAGAGATGGCACATGACCCGCAACGTTCTGAGGGTGACATCCCAACGCATAACACTGATACAGAGTGGACCTCCGAGGTGGAGATAGAATCTATGGAAAAACAATATCGTGAATTTGTGTTAAAACGTACTGGACGGACTGCTAGAGAGCAGACAGAGCAGAAAGACATATGGGAGGGGAGACAGAGAAGATGTTAAGGCACATAGGAGGAAACTACTTAAGGATGTGATGAAATGTAGCAAAGCCAAACGTGACGTAAACATTGCAGAAATAGCAAGGATAGACTCGGATCTCCTCACACAGACAGACAGAGGAGAAAGATTATGGACTGGGGAAAAATTTGACAGGGAAAGGAAGGAGAAACTGTCCCTAATAGAGGAGGTAGAGCGTCTGCACGCCCTCGTGAGAGAAAAAGAGTCGGCGCTGAATGCACCAGCGGGACCCCCAGACGTCGGTACACAGAACACATACGGGAGTACCAGTTTACCACACTCCGAGCCATGCGGACGTAGCCCAGGGCCAGATCCCACACAAAGTATGGCTACCATGCAAAGCGATTTTGATAAAGAAACCCCCTCGCAAATCGAGGAGAGGGAAGGGGAAATACGGACACAAACAGGAAAACAGGAGGCCGACCACCCCGAGGTTAGAGAGAGGCAAAATATTAACCCTAAGTCACCAGGGTATTCTGTACTGATAGAGCGACAAAGGGCGGAGCTGGGGCGAAACGAGCAACATGACATAGACAACTCACCAGAAAGACGCACGCTACGCAAGTACGACCGACATGATGCAGATGACAGAGACAGCTCACTTGGTAGACTCCTTCCACGCAGGCACGACCGACGTGGAATCTATGGCAGGGACTACTCTCCGGAGAAGCGCACCTCGCGCAAACATGACCAACCAGTTCCAGATAGCTCAGTCAGCTCACCAGAAAGACGCACGCTACGCAAGTGCGACCGACATGGTGCAGATGACAGAGACAGCTCACTTGGAAAACGCACCTCACGTAAGCATGACCGACGTGGAACCTACAGCAGGGATCACTCTCCAGGAAGGCGTACATCACGCCAACATGACCCATCAGATGCAGATAGCTCAGACAGCTCACCAGAGAAACGCACCTCACGCAAACATGACCAACATAACACGGGTACAAGGGACAGCTCACCAGAGAAATGCACGACACATACAAATTACCAACGCAAAACCACCCGCACCACAAATGACAAACACAGGAATCCCGACAACCATGTAGCACAAGACAAACATAAACACAGCACATCACCTAGCAGCCACCACACACGTAGTAGACGGCGTGAAGGTCAAGGACAAAAACACTCACCACATAGACACAGCTCAAGGAGATCACGCACACCAACCCACAGGCATGGATCACAAGACCCACATAATAGAAATAAGGGACACAAGCCACGGGACAGATACGAATCCTCCTCGGACAGAGGGAGACCACGACACAGACACGGGAAACATGACAGTAGTGATAGCGAAGGCAGGGACAGCTCGAGTGACAAATCCTCTGAATCTGACGCCTCTGACGACGATCAACTGTCCGAATACTCATTCAGTAGTAAGACTCTGAAATTGATGGACAAAGCGCTCGTCATAATTCCCTATTTCGATCCACACAACAAAACCAGGGATATACACAACCACATAGCTACAGTAGGACAGGAGGCTAAGATCCGGGGTCTGGGTAAATCAGCAGAAAAAGCATGTTTATTGTCAAGGAGCTTACATGAAACCGCCAGACCATGGGTAACATCCCTGCCAAATAGGGTCAAGAGCGATTTTAAGCAATTAAGCCGAGCAGTAGTTAATAGATTTGGGGAATACTCCACACTATCTGAAGGATTGAACGCGGCAAAATTGATGACTCAGCGTGCGGACGAAGACCCACGAGATTATCTCCTACGCCTCAAGAGAGCAAATTCCGCAGGTGACGTGGACAACGCCCAGGAAGAAGGGAAGATATTAAAAGTTATGTTCTTCCAATCACTAAGACCTGAAATAGTGAAGATAGTAGGAACGATGCTAGACCCCGAGACTGCCTCCTTGCGCCAGATTGAAAGCAAGGCCCACACGGCCTGGGTGAACGGACGGAGAACCACTAGCACAGCTAAAACACACATCATCACCAAAGACAAAGATCGTCTCAATCTGGAGGGAAACGAGTCTCCAGGGAATAACAACAGAACCACCCGGAACGAACATGAAACACCCCAGGAGAGGGCGCCAAATCCACTAGGATCAAAACTCAGCAGCAACACGCCGGACAACGGGTCATGGGGGACCTGGCACCCACGGCCGCCACAGCCCTGGAATATAGAAGAGGGCGGATCTTGGAACTATGGAGGATGGAGAGCGAATGACGGATCATACCTACCCCGCGGAGGCCGACGCCCACCGAACCAATCCCCATATCGTCTCCCACTGCCGCCTCCGCTAGCAATGGGGCATAGACCACAGGCAGCCAACAGGAGTCGATACGCTCACTATATTCGGATGGAAAGAGAACATCAAGAGAGTATGAAGACTCCCATGCGAACAGCCAAGACAAGAATACCAACAGAACACACGCAGGAAGAGGACGCACCCAACGCAAAGATAGCCCAAGAGAAAATAAGAAACTCAAGAAACCCCAAAGCAGTCACCGAGGTGGTACCAGAGGGTAAAGGGTACCATCTGGGGGAATTAATTCCCGTAGGACCGGTCGGACGAGTCCACGTGGAAGTAATACTGCAAGACACCCTGACCAGCCAGGGCCTTTGTGAAACGGGAGCAGAAATATCCATGATATCCAGAGACATGTTTGATGAACTCCAGACTGCCGTCCAGAGGAAGAATGAAACGTTACAGATGATGCCAAGTAGGCTCACCTACTCAGGATGCGAAGGGACCCACATGCGGCCATTGGGCAAGGTCATGATGAAGCTCACGTTCAACAAAGTCAACATGAGCCATCCACTATATGTCGTGCAGAACCCAGGAAAAGAGCTGATCATTGGGATCGAACTACTGAATCGCCTTAAACCCGTCATGAACCTTGAATCCCGACAAATATGGGCACAGTCAATGCCGGAGCAGCATAGGGATCCAGAAGATGAAGAAGTTGAAGACTTTACAGGAATTCAAATGATAACAGAAGAACTCAACGACCTGTCACGGACAATCAAGAACGAAACCAAGCGTCCAGCAGAAATATGGACCACTCAACTACTGACCAACAGACTGGGAAAGGACCTTGAGGAAACCAACCTACGAACAGTAGTTAGAAAGGACTGTCCCTTCGCGGAGTATATACCGCCCACTAGTGGTCAAACAGGTGTTAACGTGTCTTTATTTGCCTGTCTGCATGCGTATGTCTTGTGTGTCAGCGGTTGCAACAGGTGTGTGGCCGTGTATATTATTGCGCGTGTGTGGGTGAGTGTGTTCACGTGTGTATTGTTCAGTCTGTATCTCTGTGCATCTTCTGTGCTAGCGTATGTCTGTATGTCACTAGAGAACGGTTGTGCAGTGGTAGTGTGTAGTGGCACGTTCCTGATGACCTAAGTTCCATTCCCGGTCACGACGAACAGCAGTAGTTTAGCTGGTAAGCGTGCTGCACTATTAACCTGGCGACCCAAGTTCGATTGCTGCTTTTGGCCAACACCGGTGACGAATATCTAAACCGGTCCTGGGGCTCCCTTAGATTAATTCAGCCTTAAATGAGTACTCAGTGCGTGTAAAGCATCAGCACTGGGGAGACAAAGGTGGCTGGGTGTAGTGTTGGTCCTCCCATCCCCTTCGTGTTCTGTGCTGACCTTCGTAGATGCTCGCTAACAGCACTTGCCCTAAAAGTCTTTTCAAGGCTATATTGAGGATCTTTGACTTTTGTCTTTGTGTGGTGCAGTGGAGGGAGCACGGAGGGCGGTGCCTGCCACGCGCCCGGTCCTCACCCTGTTTGACGTGAGCCCAACATCCTCACACGACCACAACCAACCCATGTCTCATCTCCCACACCGCTGGCGAAAGCACTGTGTGTGATCTCGTGTGCTGTAGCTTTCTGTACCGTGCTGTGTTTGCTGTGTTAGCCATCATGTGCTGGGGCGTTCTGTGCGTTCTCTTGTGTGCTGTCGCATTCTGAGCTGTGCTGAAATTGCTGTCATGTTGCTGTAGTGCGCTGCGATGTGCTGTAGCGCTCTGCGCTCTGCTGTGGTGTGCAGGACAGCGAAGAGCAGCAGAACGAGGCTCGCACTGCTCAGAGCTCCACGTCCCAGATGAAGGCAGCGCGTGTCCTGCAGACGTTCGTCAACCCCTTTGGCATGGTGAGACATGGGGAGACAGGGACATGTGGAGGCACAGGGGTAGTTGAGTGCCAAGGAGATACATGGACTTTGAGACACGGGAATTACAAGGACACCAAGACAATGCAGCGATACAAGCGACTTAGGGACGTGGGGAACACACAGGAGGCATGGTAAATGAGAGACAGATAGGAGGCATAGAGACACAATATTAGCACAGGGTCACACGTGACACGGGGTCACTTAGGATTTGGATAAAACGGTCTTCATTGACGCAGAAATCCTGGAAACATGAAGACGTGGGGACTCGAGGAAGTGATTGAAAATAAAAAGTTCGCTTGTGCATCTGTTCATGTGCTTGTGCTTGCAGTATCTACCATCCAGTGACGGGAAATCTCTGCCATTTAAAGAAAAGAAATTGGATCCTAACTCAAAAGTGTTTGAGGTAACACGTGATTGTTGTGTGCTAACATTTTGCTCACATCATCATCTCCATCATCATCATTATCTCCATCATTCCATTTCACAAACCACTTGTGCGGATGGGTGCTGAGTGAGGAATTTTAGTGGTTTGGTGATTAATGTGGTTATTTGAGTGCATGTTTGAGCAGATGAGTGGGTGAATGAATGGTTGAGTGAGTGCTTGGGTAGGTGAGAGAGTGTAGTTGAGTGCATGAGTGGTTGGATCGTTGAACGAGTACCTGAGTGGCTGAGTAAGTGAATGAGTGTTTAAGTAGTTGACTGAGTGAGTGATGAGAACCCGTTGAGTGCTATATCACCCGTCTCTGTAGATCTGTAGTCGCTGGAAACTGATGAAAGCGCCAGAGAAACCAAAGAAGAGCTCTGCACAGTCTGCAAAAGCCAAACACGGTGAAGGCACACACACACACACACCATGAACACAGAGACATGCACTAATCCAGCAGTCACAAACACTTGCACGTGCATGTGCACACACACACACATGCAGACACGTACAGAAGTCGAGGCGTTGCTCACGCACACACACACGACAAAAACAAAAATCGTATCACCTTTAACAGACTTGGGGCAAGTGCTGTTAGCAAGCGTCTCTGAAGATCCAGGATTACACGAGGGGTGGGTAGTCAACACCAGGCTCGGCTGCCTTTGTTTCCCCAGCACTGATGATTACACATCGTGCCCGGTACTCATTTAAGGCTCCGTCGACCTCGGGGAGGCCCAGGACTTGATCAAATATTTGCCATTGCTGTTGATCGCAAGCGGGAATTGAAATCAGGTCACTGGGTTTGCAGTGCATTAACCAGCACACTACTGCACGCACGCGCCATGAGTGACGGATCCCCGTGTCTGCAGCGGAGAAGAAGATGAAGGTGGAGCGCCCTCAAGAGGAGCCGGTCGCCGTACCGACTGTGCGAGAGCAGAAACAGGTGCGCCCCGCTCACTCGCGCTCCAGCGTTTCCACGGCCAATGGGGGAACTGGGAACCTAGATTTAAAGCTTTCGTGACTGCAAGGATCCATACTCTTTGGTTCTATTCGGTAGTCACGTAGGTAAATAATAAAACAAAAATCACGACGTTTCGGCCGCTTGTGTTGTGGCTGAAACGTCGTGATTTTTGTTGTTTTATTTTTTACCTACGTGACTTTACCGAATAGAACCAAAGAGTATGAACTGGGAACCTGTTGCAGGACCTGCACCCCCGGGCCTTGCGTTTGTGACTGGGCTTCGTGGGACCCGGCCCCTCCTGGTGCCCTTAAGTCCCCACCCACCCACCCCCTCCCCACTCACTGCTGCCCTTTCCCATTCCATCTGAACACCAGCCTGTGTTGGGGTAAGACATTGCTTACAAAATTGCATACGAATTCAGATGCGTTATTCTTGTGAACATTCTGCATGTGCTTGAGCGAATTACGTCGTGGCGTGCAAATTTTTGCCGTCAATAAAGTAGGCATCGGTGCGCATCACAGCGGAATGGGAATGGTACATGGGCATAGAGCAATAAAAATGTAAAAAGAAACCCGTCGCGAACTCGGCGGCTTACACCGACTGAGCAAAATAAATTGCAACCGCATGAAAAAAAGTGCACAGGGAATCGCATAAGGTAAGGAGTAAATAATAATGAAATAAACTGTGTTTTCTTTCCCTGGTGCGCTGGTGATAACTCGACGAGGGTTAACGAATCGGTACCCTATCCTGTGACTCGTGACTTGATGCTGGTAGCATCGTGGGGATAACATTGGGGGAAAAGACAAAAATCCGACACAAACCAGAATACCTCCCCACTGCCGCTCTCCCCTCCCCACCCCCTCCCACTGTGTTGCCTTCATTCTCTCTCGTTCGGCCTCTCCCTTACCCCTTTCCATGGGCAGGGTGCCACACGTAGAGAGGCACCGGGGGCAGCCGAGGTCACGGAGGTCGGAGGGAAAAGGCAGCGCGCGGACTCGGACTCATCGCCAGCGCCACCACTCGTGCCAGATGACTTCACCCCCCACGAGTACACGGAGGCCGACGCTCACATCTTCACAGGTACACACACATCTTCACAAGTACATACGTGCACATCCACATCTTCACAGGTACACAGACACGCGCACATGTACATCATCATGGGAAAAATGCACATCTTCACAGATACGCACACACACACACATCTTCACAGGTAAGGTCAATGTGTGAATGTGAGGGTGGGTATGTGAAGGTCAATGTGAGCGAGTTTGAGTGGGCGAGTGAGCGAGTTGTTCTCTGTTCCAGCCGGGTGCTCTCGAGGAAGAGATCAGAACAGACACACGACTCGGCAGGACAAGGTGCGTACGTACTTCACATCACCGCTATCATCATCGTCGCCGTCATAACCACCACTACCATTGTCATCACACCATCACCACCCCTAATATTACAGTTTTATCACCATCACCACTACCATCAACACCATTACAGCTACTATCATCACCATCATGAAAATCACTGCTACCAACATCACTATCATAACTCCCATATTCATCACCATCATCACCACTATCATTGTCATCACCATCACCATCAATATCACAACCATCACCCCTACAACTAAAGTATTATCTCCACTACTTTTAACACCATCACCGCTACCATGATCACTGTCATAACCACCATATTCATCACCATCACCGTTACCGTCACCATCAACACCATTGCCATCATCTCTGTAACCAGTGTTGCCTTCACCTTTAACGTCATTAACACCATCATTAATGCCGTCACCACCATCATAACCACATTCATTGGTACCACTGTCAACATCATCTTCATTCCCACCACCATTACCACGATACACGTCGTGTAGTGCATTGCGCATTGTGTTAAATATTTGTGCTCCGCGTGCTTTTTGTGTCGTGTGCATGGTGTCTGTTGTGCGCATAAACGCGCATTGTGTGTGGTGTGTGTTTGATGTTGAGTACACATTTGCGTGTATCCGTTGTGTGTTTGTGCAGCATAAGTTGTGCGGGCGGGGGCAAGGTGGTCGTACAGTCTTCAGAGGATCGGCACGGGGCATGACGTACATGCAGGGACACAGTGGCCGGTAGGAGATCCCTCTCCCATCACCTATGTCGCCCTACGTGCATTCACGTGTCTTTTGTGTCCGCGTCGGACCTTGCATATCTAAATGTTTACCCCACGTGTCCTTGTGTGTCCCTGTGGGTCGCCGCATGTCTAAATGTGTACGCACATGTCTCTGTAATGTCCCACCTTCTCTCGGTTAGTTCCCCGCATGTCCCCATGTCCCTCCGTGTCACTACGCATGCTGCGTCTTCCTTTAGATCATAGATCACGGTTCCGTGCATTTTCACGTGTGTTCCTGTGTATACGTATGCCTTTGTGTCTGCACATGCATCTGCTTGCCTTTGTGTGTCTCAGTGTCAACGGTGTCAACAGTGTTGCTTTGTGTCAATGATACTTCGTGTCTGCTTGTGTCTTCACGTGCCCCCCTGTAGCATTGTTACCATGCGTGTCGGTGTGTCACCGATGCGTTATAGCACATGTCATCACACAGGGTTCTCCGACTGGCACATCTGGCCCGTGAAGGCTTTTGTAGTGGCCTGCCGAGGTATAAATACAGGTTTCCCTCACTTTATGCGGTGGATACGTTCCAAAAAAAGGGCACACAAAGTGAAACCGCACAAGACAGCGTCCTGCCGAGTAGTATATACGTACACATGCAATGTTGTGTCACATCTGACCGCAAAGTGGCATATAGAGTGAGTTCAAAAGACATTTAGCGAATTTTGTGGAGAAATAGGTAAGCCGCATATACGTGAAATCGCACAAACCAAACCTGAATAAACTGTGGAAACCTGTAGATACAGGTTAGTGAGATGAAAAGTGATATACAAGAGATAGGGATGAGAGTTGGAGACAAACTATGGTGGTTAGCTGTCACATAGCTGACGTTATGACGTAAATAAGTCATGTGATGTAACATGTACGCGTGGCACGTGATATTACGTCGCTAACTTTTTGTAGCCCGCCAGATAATATTTCTGAAGAACCATTCGTTTTCATGTGCCTCTGTGCCAAGCACATGTCTGCATATCTCCATGTGGGTGACTTTGTGTTCCATAATCTCAAAATGCACCTAGCCTGGCACAGCTGCTACGGTCACATCACTCAATGGCGGCTGTTCTCTTAATTTATTCACTGGTCACTATCTGTGTCCTCAAATCCTGATGCTTGCATTTCCACGTGTGTGTGTGTCCCTCCACATCTTAAAAATAATATTCTGCATATATTTAGCATCTTGCATGAAAATTCCATCTATAAACGTGGTAGAATTTGTAACACATGCAGTTTTCGCGTGGAGGCATGATAATACACAGACAAGCGGGCAAAATAGCCAGAACCAGTGCCAACAATTGCTCAAGCTCTGTGGTCCTATATTGAGCGGCCGGAATGTGGGTCAGGAGTGTTCCACTTTTCATCCCAGTGCGACCCGCGGTTGCTCACTTCTCCGTGATGCAGGGGAGGCTCCCGGCAGGCGTGGCCGAAAAAATGAAGATGTGAAGAGAGGCGGTGAGAGTCCTGGAGGGGAGTGAACTGGCATTGGTGCAGGGTGGACAACAAACGTCTCCCATTGATACGAGGCGACATCAACAACAAACGCAATTAACAGCAACATCCAGGATCAACTGGCGAATTCGAACAACACGCAGTTAACAGCAACACCGAGTCAACCGGAGTATCTAACAATACATGGGAGTTGATAGCGACATCTGTTCGGCCAGTAAATTCTAACAACACAGTTCACAGCAACTCCTAAAGTCTTCCAGAGTACAAATAAGACGCGTAGTTTATACCAACTGCTCGAGTCACACAGGGTCTCCTGTAACTGCGACGTTAACAACACACGGATACAAGTACCCTGTGTGGCCAGTAACACCCAGACTCAACGGCAACACCCCAAAACACACCCAGTGTCACCAACATCATCTCACATTATCATTAACAGCTGATAATACCAGCTACAGCCAGCTACATTGAGCATCACCAGCAAAGTGAGTGATAAACCAGCTTTAATACTTTCCATAAAATAATGAGAAACTCATGTCCTGCGCGTGTAAATAATAAGTATTCACACGTGCAATGCCCATGCACTCTCACACAATCACATGAACATAGATGTTAGAACTCACATGTGCACACATAAGCGCAAGCTTTTTTGAAACCCTGCACCCCCTGCATTACCAGTTTAATGACTTGTTTCCACATGGATGTTGTGGTGCTGACAAGTAGACCACAAAGAAATGATGTAAAAATAAATTTGGTTTCACATTTTTAAGCCTTCTCTCCTGCAGGAGGGACTTTGTCAAACGTGTCTTTTGTCGCTGTGTGTAGGTGTTTAAGGTGGGGAGTGGTAATAAATGTTGAACTTTTTTCTTCATGCTTTTGGAGTCCCTGACTGCTCACAATCATTAAGGACCTTGATGATGGTGGGTAGGCCCGAGTAAAGCTACGTGGCTGGGAGTCAGAGCCATTCCCTGTTCACCTTTGGGTGCGACAGGGATGTGCTGTGGCTCCAACATTATTTAACATCTTTTTCGACAACGTAGTTCGAGAAGCCTTCCTTGGCTGTACTGGCAGAATCTCCATCTGGTACAGATACAGTGGGAGGCTGATCAATATGTTCTTTGGTTCTTTCGGTAAAGTCACGTAGAATGAGAATAAAATAATAAATTGATAAAATAAAATAACACAATAATATTCTCACGACGTTTCGGCCACAACACAAGCGGCCTTCATCAGGTGAAGGGAGCGAGACTGTCTGGTAGGACAGCGCTGGAGTGAGAGAGCCACGTTCAGATCACGGCTTTTAAGCTGTGTGAGAGGAACAAAGAGCCTTAGAGTCGCGGCATCTCTTCAGAAAGGTGAGAGACTCGATTAGTTGAGCCTTCTTATCCCGAAGTCTGTTGAATGATCTTAAGGATGTGTGGAATCCCTCCCCATAGAGGTGGTTAAATTTCGATTTAAAGCTTTCGTGACTGCAATGATTCATCTTGTTTGGTTCTTTCGGTAAAGTCACGTAGAATGAGAATAAAATAATAAATTGATAAAATAAAATAACACAATAATATTCTCACGACGTTTCGGCCACAACACAAGCGGCCTTCATCAGGTGAAGGGAGCGAGACTGTCTGGTAGGACAGCGCTGGAGTGAGAGAGCCACGTTCAGATCACGGCTTTTAAGCTGTGTGAGAGGAACAAAGAGCCTTAGAGTCGCGGCATCTCTTCAGAAAGGTGAGAGACTCGATTAGTTGAGCCTTCTTATCCCGAAGTCTGTTGAATGATCTTAAGGATGTGTGGAATCCCTCCCCGTAGAGGTGGTTAAATTTCGATTTAAAGCTTTCGTGACTGCAATGATTCATCTTCTTTGGTTCTTTCGGTAAAGTCACGTAGAATGAGAATAAAATAATAAATTGATAAAATAAAATAACACAATAATATTCTCACGACGTTTCGGCCACAACACAAGCGGCCTTCATCAGGTGAAGGGAGCGAGACTGTCTGGTAGGACAGCGCTGGAGTGAGAGAGCCACGTTCAGATCACGGCTTTTAAGCTGTGTGAGAGGAACAAAGAGCCTTAGAGTCGCGGCATCTCTTCAGAAAGGTGAGAGACTCGATTAGTTGAGCCTTCTTATCCCGAAGTCTGTTGAATGATCTTAAGGATGTGTGGAATCCCTCCCCGTAGAGGTGGTTAAATTTCGATTTAAAGCTTTCGTGACTGCAATGATTCATCTTCTTTGGTTCTTTCGGTAAAGTCACGTAGAATGAGAATAAAATAATAAATTGATAAAATAAAATAACACAATAATATTCTCACGACGTTTCGGCCACAACACAAGCGGCCTTCATCAGGTGAAGGGAGCGAGACTGTCTGGTAGGACAGCGCTGGAGTGAGAGAGCCACGTTCATATCACGGCTTTTAAGCTGTGTGAGAGGAACAAAGAGCCTTAGAGTCGCGGCATCTCTTCAGAAAGGTGAGAGACTCGATTAGTTGAGCCTTCTTATCCCGAAGTCTGTTGAATGATCTTAAGGATGTGTGGAATCCCTCCCCGTAGAGGTGGTTAAATTTCGATTTAAAGCTTTCGTGACTGCAATGATTCATCTTCTTTGGTTCTTTCGGTAAAGTCACGTAGAATGAGAATAAAATAATAAATTGATAAAATAAAATAACACAATAATATTCTCACGACGTTTCGGCCACAACACAAGCGGCCTTCATCAGGTGAAGGGAGCGAGACTGTCTGGTAGGACAGCGCTGGAGTGAGAGAGCCACGTTCAGATCACGGCTTTTAAGCTGTGTGAGAGGAACAAAGAGCCTTAGAGTCGCGGCATCTCTTCAGAAAGGTGAGAGACTCGATTAGTTGAGCCTTCTTATCCCGAAGTCTGTTGAATGATCTTAAGGATGTGTGGAATCCCTCCCCGTAGAGGTGGTTAAATTTCGATTTAAAGCTTTCGTGACTGCAATGATTCATCTTCTTTGGTTCTTTCGGTAAAGTCACGTAGAATGAGAATAAAATAATAAATTGATAAAAATAAAATAACACAATAATATTCTCACGACGTTTCGGCCACAACACAAGCGGCCTTCATCAGGTGAAGGGAGCGAGACTGTCTGGTAGGACAGCGCTGGAGTGAGAGAGCCACGTTCAGATCACGGCTTTTAAGCTGTGTGAGAGGAACAAAGAGCCTTAGAGTCGCGGCATCTCTTCAGAAAGGTGAGAGACTCGATTAGTTGAGCCTTCTTATCCCGAAGTCTGTTGAATGATCTTAAGGATGTGTGGAATCCCTCCCCGTAGAGGCGGTTAAATTTCGATTTAAAGCTTTCGTGACTGCAATGATTCATCTTCTTTGGTTCTTTCGGTAAAGTCACGTAGAATGAGAATAAAATAATAAATTGATAAAATAAAATAACACAATAATATTCTCACGACGTTTCGGCCACAACACAAGCGGCCTTCATCAGGTGAAGGGAGCGAGACTGTCTGGTAGGACAGCGCTGGAGTGAGAGAGCCACGTTCAGATCACGGCTTTTAAGCTGTGTGAGAGGAACAAAGAGCCTTAGAGTCGCGGCATCTCTTCAGAAAGGTGAGAGACTCGATTAGTTGAGCCTTCTTATCCCGAAGTCTGTTGAATGATCTTAAGGATGTGTGGAATCCCTCCCCGTAGAGGCGGTTAAATTTCGATTTAAAGCTTTCGTGACTGCAATGATTCATCTTCTTTGGTTCTTTCGGTAAAGTCACGTAGAATGAGAATAAAATAATAAATTGATAAAATAAAATAACACAATAATATTCTCACGACGTTTCGGCCACAACACAAGCGGCCTTCATCAGGTGAAGGGACGAGACTGTCTGGTAGGACAGCGCTGGAGTGAAAGAGCCACGTTCAGATCACGGCCTTTAAGCTGTGTGAGAGGAACAAAGCGCCTTAGAGTCGCGGCATCTCTTCAGAAAGGTGAGAGACTCGATTAGTTGAGCCTTCTTATCCCGAAGTCTGTTGAATGATCTTAAGGATGTGTGGAATCCCTCCCCGTAGAGGCGGTTAAATTTCGATTTAAAGCTTTCGTGACTGCAATGATTCATCTTCTTTGGTTCTTTCGGTAAAGTCACGTAGAATGAGAATAAAATAATAAATTGATAAAATAAAATAACACAATAATATTCTCACGACGTTTCGGCCACAACACAAGCGGCCTTCATCAGGTGAAGGGAGCGAGACTGTCTGGTAGGACAGCGCTGGAGTGAGAGAGCCACGTTCCTCTCACACAGCTTAAAAGCCGTGATCTGAACGTGGCTCTCTCACTCCAGCGCTGTCCTACCAGACAGTCTCGCCCCCTTCACCTGATGAAGGCCGCTTGTGTTGTGGCCGAAACGTCGTGAGAATATTATTGTGTTATTTTATTTTATCAATTTATTATTTTATTCTCATTCTACGTGACTTTACCGAAAGAACCAAAGAAGATGAATCATTGCAGTCACGAAAGCTTTAAATCGAAATTTAACCACCTCTACGGGGAGGGATTCCACACATCCTTAAGATCATTCAACAGACTTCGGGATAAGAAGGCTCAACTAATCGAGTCTCTCACCTTTCTGAAGAGATGCCGCGACTCTAAGGCTCTTTGTTCCTCTCACACAGCTTAAAAGCCGTGATCTGAACGTGGCTCTCTCACTCCAGCGCTGTCCTACCAGACAGTCTCGCTCCCTTCACCTGATGAAGGCCGCTTGTGTTGTGGCCGAAACGTCGTGAGAATATTATTGTGTTATTTTATTTTATCAATTTATTATTTTATTCTCATTCTACGTGACTTTACCGAAAGAACCAAAGAAGATGAATCATTGCAGTCACGAAAGCTTTAAATCGAAATCTGATCAATATGGTCGAGGGATAGCTCCCTATTGGTCAACCATTTATATATGCTGATGATCTGGTGATTGCTGTTCACTTAGAAGAAGTTGGAAGCGCTGCTGCTAGACCTGGAGCATGCTACAAACTTACCATCAGCCCCACCAAAACTAAGCAACTGGCTGGGTATTTTGTGCCATCAAACACTCAACTCCCGATTGGTGATGGGGTAGTTGTCGAGAGAGTGAAGAGTTTTCCATACCTGGGCAGTGTGCTTATGACCAGCTCCGATTTGATAGCAGAAGTCTCACTCCGAATCAGTCGAGTGGCATCTGTTCATCGGCTGGGTAAAGCTGTGTGGAAGCTTCCTGGTCTGTTGCTCCACATGAAGCCTCGGGTATTCACGGCCACCGTCATGCCCTCCTGTATTCTTGCGGAAAAGCGGACCCCCCCCCCCCCCATGGAACATCTTCGCCAGTAAGACACATTCAGGCTGGCATGCCTACGATCCATCCTGGGTTTAGCCAGGCTGGATTGTGTGAGGACCTCACAAATCCTTGAAAGAGCTCGACAAAGTTAATCGGTGAGCTCCGGCAGGCAAGGCTGCGTTGGCTGGGTTATAGAGCCTGCATGTACAGCCACCACATGCCTAAATAGCTTTTGTTCAGCCAGATAGAGGGGGCCAAATGGACGTGGCAGGGGCTCGAGAAGCGATGTAATCATGTGGTACAAGAGGATGTAGAGCTAAGTGTGCTTTCCGATGACTGGTACCAGCGGTGTCAAGATCGGCCTCTGTGGAGGAGGCTTGTGAAGGACGCTACTGGGTAGTTGGAGGCAGTCGCCCTTCAGCATGAACGGAGGGCTATGGAGCGACGCTCACAAACCCGAGCAAGCACCAGGTGG